GTACAAACCTCAATTCCTCGAAGCAATCGTCAAAACAAGAAACACACACAATCACACACACACACACACACACACAGAGCAACATATACAGAAAGACATACATGAATCTTGAATTAAGAAAAAACACAGCAAAAGAAAAAGGGTTCTTGAAGAAAGCATGAAAAGAAACAGAGAAAATGGCTCACCATGAAAACACAGCAGAGAAGAACAAACAAGAAAAAAGATGGCTTTTTTTTCATCAACCCCCAACTTTTGCACCGTCACTTTCTCTCTCTACTCTCTCTCTCTAAAAGAATGAGAAGGAGATTATGGTCACAAATCTGCATTTATTTCGAAGCACTCACTATCAAAAGGGGAAGGAAAAGATGTGATTTTTAAGGTTTCCCTATGTGGGCAAAATGCTTTTGTTTCTGTATTTGGGGAATTGGAAAATTTAATTTAATAAATATTAAATAATTTGTTGGCAGAAGACAAGTAAATAAGCACAAGTTATGGTGTCTTATAAATACACAGATAAGAGATGAATCCCATTTCATTTATTACAGTAATTTATTTGTTTTTATATATCAAATATAATAATTTCACAATATTACAATAATATTTATTTTTTATATATATCAAATATTATATTTCATGAACCTACTTTAAGGATTTTCCCTTTTTTTGTATTTTTTATTTGACGGTTGAACCTCTTCTTTAATGATTAGATTAATATTATCTTGGAATGTATAATTGATTAATTGTATTCTTCTTTCCAAATAATAAATAAATAAATAAATCAGATTGTTGTTACAGTTTTACTTCCATAACTATAAAATATTTTCAGCAATTTTTTAATGATTCTATCTTTGTTTTTATTTTATTGAAATTTGCAAAAAAAAAATAATAAAAAAAAAACCGATGTAATTCCGTTAGCAAAAAGAATCTGCGGGTTTTTTTTCGTTGAAAGTATTTTGCTCGTTAGCTAAAACGTCTTTGAGAATAATGCGAACTTATCTCGTAAATTTTCAACTAATTCAAGAGTTGTCATTTTTTAGCACATTTTCATAATTTCACTGCTATAATATGTTAAAAATGTTCAATTTTAAAGTTCGTTGTCATATTATGTTGAAAATATTCACTTTTTTAAGAGATTGTTACCAAATTACAGCCAATTTTGGGAATTTCGCTTACAATTGTAAAATCCTATTAAAATGTAAAGCTTAATTATTAAACTACAAAAAAATATAAAAATCGCCATAAATAGCAAAAAAAAAAAATAGTTAAAGAATAATCCTTCCAGAATATAAAATTCCAACAACAATTAGATTTTTCTACTAAAAAATATTACAATTTCAAATATTACCACAAATACAAAAAAACACGTTGGCCTAAGTAATTTCAGATCACAAAAATCCAACGAGCTTCCAATTTGTCGTTTTGCTTCAAATAAGTTTGATCACACTTCAGTTATAATGATAAATTAACGGGTAAGATAGTCATAAATAATGTTCGAAAAGTAGTCAACGGACTTTTAGCTAATAAAAATTCGAGCGAATAACTTTTAGCTGAAAAAATATATTATCGTGTAATGTCAATAGCTATCGATTGTTACCTAATTTTCCCTTTTTAGTTTAATATCACGTGTTGCAAGCTCACATGATTACTTACTCGTTTCAATTCATTTTAGTAAGATTCTCGCCTCTTTTTTTTTTTCTTCGTACGATCTCCTTCGATTCAATTTATTGTACGTCTATGTTCACACAATAAATGTGTCAATGTGATAGTGAGATTCGGTGAGAGATCGATGGTTCGAAATTAATGTTTCGTACAGTGAACAACTCGTGTCATTAATTTTACGTTCTTTTGCTCCATCAACTGGACTGCTCTTATTGACTTGTATATAGTTTATATGAAAATGCCACGTATGATATAGATGAGTTTGATGATTGACTATTATTTATTTATTTTTTAAAATATTATTTATTTATTTTGTAGATTGATGATTTAATAACTTGGGAAAATAAAAATGCT